GCAAGCGGCAATTACTTTTCAGGAATTGAAAAATAAACGAACTTTTCTGCAGTTTTTATTCATGCATTCCCGTTCTGGATATAAGTGCGAGGGAGACAACGAAGATGTCAACCTAGAAAACTACGTCGCAGCCGAAGTTATTTGTCAACATCCAATAACATCATATTATTATGCATTGCAAGAATTCTCCTTGAACGTAGTGTAGGTAATGGGGTACATATAGTACAAGTTCATATAAATAAACGTGCAAGGTCAATAATCCCGGAACGAAGTGCGATAGAAATTTTTTTATATAAAGTACTGATATTATTTTGGTTCACCCTATCAGTCCTGCAACTATACCATGATGTTATTAAATAAATTGAGTTAACATTACCTACCTTTGAAATGGTTGAGATGTATGTTTTTGAGATGCGATTTTCTCTAGAACGGAACAAGGAATCGATAATAATCAATCATACGATTTCTGTAGATAACAGATGTAGGAATCAAACGGTGGAAGCAAAATGTCAAATTTGTCAATTCTGTCAAAAATACCTCCATTAAACGGAAAAAAAATCGTCCCATCCTGTATTAAACACAATCACTGAACAGCCGTTTACATTTCGAAAAGAGCATAAGTATGAGTCAATTCAGTTGCTTTTGGGTGTATGATAAATTGACATTCATAATAATGCGAATTCTCAATGTATTGCTTCATATAAATATATATCCATTTTCGTATGTCCATAATTTATCTGATGAAATTCCTTTTCAACACATTAATTCAGTTGCCCGAATATCATTGATACCATGCATATATGACTACCTCTTAGAAGTTATACATGAAATATATATATTTTTGAATAAATACATGGAGCTCGAAGTAATTTCCACACAATGTTCATAAAATGAACAACAATGGTAGATTTCGGAAGAAAAACAACTAATTTCCTGGCTAATGCCACGCAGAACATTGAATTACATCCTCCCGAAATCTATATGCATCGACTCGTATAGAGGAATACTGATACAATTGATTCTTTTCTGAATGTCAATTGATTTCGATTTAGCTAGGCCACGCTAGACAACCACAGACCGGCTTCGAGCTCTTTGACTCCCATCAGTGCAGTGTAGTCTCCAGCTAGCAGTCTAAGATCGCCGACTCAACGAAGCCTAGCCAAACAAAAATCAAGTCGGCATTATATTTCCCCCGAGGCGTCTTTCATCGATAATATGAAAGTATCGCCATCATAATGAATAAATGAATGCATATTTTTTCGAAATCTCTAGGATACGTCCCATACGGATGCCAATGGTGAGATAATTAAAAAAAATCCGTTCCATCAAAAAATGCCTATTGGTGTTTTCGGAGGGTGTTTTGTAGGTGCATGTCAAATTTAATGAGAATATCTAGAACAGTATTGAAGTTATGATAAGAAATATATGATGTTTTATTAAAATTTCAACACCCTAGCTTAGCTGGAAAGTTGAGATGTATAACTCTTCTTCTCAAAATGAGCTGAGGGACCATACCCTTTATACGACCGGACCTGTAGGTATTGGATTTTCTTCAAAATTTTGAAGATTATATAAGTTTTTAATGGGAATGATTCCTCTGGCATAGAATTCCGAAGCTTTGCAGTTCTATGGACAAATGAGATTTGGTAAAGAGAAGTTCGTAATACTGTGCGTAATATTTCGAGATTGGCGAAGAAAGGATGGGCTGACCACTGGACTTGTCGAGTAGGTACGTTTGACTGGTGTTGCAAGTGATGGAATGATAGTAAAGATTTTTTGAGATCATTTCCCGTGGAAGTATCTATCTACTCCATTACAGACGATGTCTGATGTTGCTATCGCTTGGCTGACAAGCCGTTTTTGACCCGAACGAATATTTCATCAGAGGTGCATTGTACGCTGAATGTCCATTGTTCCATATTTGAAAAAAGCTAACCATTGACCATCGTTCCCGCCTTGGAACATTGGGAAATATTTGGTTCATAAAGTGAAGAAACTAATTTATTCAGTAAATTTAGCTTGTAACTAAATTGTTGTATCCGTCATTCGGTTGCCCCCTTACGAGCAACCCTCAGCTAGAAGTCTTCGAGAGTCTTGTGCGAGCAAGGAATGACAGGGGCCTTACCTTCTAACGTGTGATCCCAAACATTTTCTTAGGCCATCAGAAAAATTTCTGCAGTCTATGGGAATCGAAGCAACGACCGGCAAGCGAATGCGGATTAGAATATTGACACTCTGTCCGCACGGCTACCTGGCCGTTGTTATATGAATTAGCAACATACCTACATTTTTGTTATCGTCCAATATTATCCAGAATTTACAGAAAATACGCTTGCAGAAACACCTCACGTGCGGAATGATGAATTATTATGAAGTTGCTGTTTCTATTTCTGATAAGACTACATAGATGCCGTCATATATTATAGCGTTTTCCACTCGTCGCAATAGCTCGAACTTTTTTGGCACTGAGTGAGTTTTTCGTGGTTTACTGAGAATTTCAAGAGCGATCTTTTATAAAGAAATGATGTCCACTGGCCTTCAAACTTGCTCGATGTTCGTTCTAAGTCCGAGTCTCAGAACCATGCTTGTGCGACGGTGTGATACACATAACCCTAAATATTCGAGTAGGAAAATACTCGAAATTCGAATGATCATGAATTCCTCATTGAAGTCTATTCCAATAACTTTCGAAATCATAGATTCTTCGAATTCTAGCGATGACTGAGATACAGAAGTACTTCGTTACGAAACAGCATTCATCGAATATTACTCAAAATTATATAAATGTTATAGAAAGCTATTCAGATGTGCAGGTATTGAAAACATTCAATTGTTGATTCATTAATGATGAACACTACTAACTTCGTAAAGAACACTTCATTTTGGCAATGAACAAAACATCTACATCCATATAAGACTGCAGTCGCTGGCAGTGTGTTCACAGAGAAACCACAAGAAATAAATGGATTCATTTCATGTGGACCACTGAAATCAAATGTTCTGATCGACAAAACAATACTGATATTTCTGACAAGCACCCAAAGGTCGCACCAACTATCGATTTCTATTCCACTTCAATCACACTACTTGGAAAAACCGAACCAGTGCCTGTTACGACACAGAAACATTGTATTAAGTTACATGTGACAGCACTGTTTTTTCCACTTACAGACAGATGGACCCTTAACTTTTACTTCTTATGGGACAGTCTTGAAGGGCGAGTTGTTGGCTAGAGGTAAACGTAAGAAGACGGAGTGCCGTCGCCTATGTATTTGTATTTGTGGAAAACGACATATCTCAAAAATTGCCCTCTTGATTTCACAACGACTAGTTTTGATTTTGGCCACGCGCGATTCTTCATCAGGTCTCAAATATACATAGTTACTATACTGCCGAGTCTCCATTGCATAACAGGAGGAAGATTGTTTCCGCGCACAACCACCAGTTGCCCAATTTTCAAATTCTACATTTATTCTTATGTTCCTAATAGCACACAACGTCCTAGGGACGTCCCTATTTGGTACAATTCAAGTCCGAATGTCCCAGACCAAAAATAAGTGTCCTTGGGACGTCCCATTTCGTACATCTCATGCGATGTCCGAGCAAGGACGTCCAAGGAATGTCCCATTTGGTACATCATTTCAAATGTCCTAGAAAAAGCATCCCTTAGACGTTCCACGTGGTACATATTGTGGAATGTCCATGCTAAGACGTCCTTGGTATGTCCCTGATGAGATATGATTTTAAACGTTCCTTTTGGGACATCCATCGGATGTTCCGAGTAGTACAGTCGTATTCAAGAAATAACGTATAAGTATTAAGAAGAGAGGATTTCGAGATCCTAGTTCTAGTTGTGTACAACTGGCTCAGCCAATGCTTTATGTATTCGAGAACCTATGACAAAATTACTGAAAACATTTGCTGAACGATCATTCCCGATAGCATGCTTTATGCAGAATAGGATGACGTTGATTTCTCTCTGAAATATATTTGTACGCTTTTTTTCAATGCGACTGTACATATGCTGGCCTGACTTCAGATCTTATATAATGTCGCTTCTAGACAACCATGAAATGTCCATGATAATACATTTCTTGAAATATCTCTGCACAGACGCCCTTAATATCTTCAAGATCGTATAACAATCGAAATGTCCCTACGGGACATCCTTCGAATGTCCCTAAGAGATATCCGTCGGATGTCCCAATTGGTACATAAACTGTACATATCCAATGTCCTAGAAATAACGTCCCACGGACGTCACAGTCGGTACTTTCAATATGTTGTCCCTGCGAGGACGTTAACTTACACCTCGCCGACGGATGATTGCTCGTAGGCTATAGATATTTCCCGTCAATGTCCTTCACGTGAGTCCATTGGACATTCTTGGGAAACTTTTTGGGGATCTATTGGGGACCTTCTACAGACCATCCTGGATGTCCTCATCTGTTATGCAAGATCTTGTCCTAGAAGGATCCAGAAGAATTCTAATTCAAGAATATTTCTTACGTCCCTGGGACATCCTATGGATATCCGATTGATATCCATCAGCGTTGCTGATAGGTTGTTCTATGGATGTCCTCCGTAGTGCTTGATGAGGAAAACTGTAGGATTTAGGTATTCGATATTTGTCCCAGGGATATCCCTCAAGGACGTCCCTAGTTGGTCTTCAAGTGGGACATTCGTGCGTCTCACAGACGTCCAATGGACGTCCACGGTACCAAATTCGAACGTTCTATAGACGTCCTGAATGTCCCGACAGGACGTCCTGAGGTTATCCATGGGACATACTTGTGTTATTAGGGGTTGAAGTTTCGTTACATATTCTTTCGACCACCGAGTCCAAAAGTCATGTGATAACATTTGAATATGCTGGTACTCAGAAAGAAGGTTGAATATCCTTGAAACACTTTTGATGCACTCTCTAAAATTGAAGCAAACAATAACCCCACGCCTCTCATTTTCATACAATGTCCATATACATATACACTTGTTTCCAGGGCGGAGAACACCCTCTTCACCGGCCTCGAAGTGACAGACGACAGGCTGTTCCTGGCCACTCCGCGACTGCGCGCGGGCGTCCCGGCCACCCTCTCGACGGTGCCGCGCAACACGCCCCCCGGCTCGAGTCCCGTCCTGCGCGCCTATCCCGATTGGTCGGCACACAGCGGCCTGAGGGGTGACGTCAACTGCTCGGGCCTGATTTCCGTCTATCGGATGAGGATAGATTCTTGTAACAGGTTGTGGGTAGGTATTTATTTATTTTTTGTTGGTAATTATGGGTTATTTGTTGTCATGAAAGATGGGCGGATATTCGAAATGGGACATTAAAACTTCATGGTAATAACAGTTTGCTTTATTTGGGGATTGACGAAATAAATTCTTTACGTTTGAAACGAATTATGTTAAGTTAAGTTGAGCTCATTAAGAGATTTCGAAACATTTCTAGTTCCAGAAAAATTAACTTTCTATATACCCCGGAATATTTGAGTATTTTAAGGGTTGTGTAATGACCGATCTCAAATTTATTGAAAAGGAACATTCTCAGATATATTTATGAACATAAAAAATGGATATGTATATAAAGAAATACATTGAGAATTCACATTCTCCATGTGATGAGAATATTATTCTTTCTCGGTTTATTCAACGGAAAACAACTAGTTTCCTGGCTATATGCCACGACGAATATTGAATTACATCTATTGAACACACACGATAAGAATATGAAAACAAAATCTTCTGAAGTAGAGAATTTGCATTCTCCTTCAGAAAAAGATATGCATATAATATAATTCTGAATATTCAACAGAAAACAACTCCTTTCCTGGCTATTTGCCACGTCGAACATTGAATTATATCTGTTGAATATTCAAAAAGAGAGCATATGAAGAATCAAAATCCTCTGAAATCGCGAATTGACATCATATCTCAAATCGAATAGAATAATATGATGTATTATAATATAAAAATATAACAAACCGATATGTTCAGAATCGGGAAGAAAATTGAAAAGTATAGGATATCAGCGATATGGGAACTATATCTCTCACAAGTAGTGCTAGTACTGCTAGCGTGGCCCCATCATTTCCACTCTCAGAGTGTCGATCAAACGGGATAATTCGCGATGATATAGTGCTTGCAGTTGAACATGTTGGAATACTATTTAAAACAATATCAAATCCACTGACTATCTTTACCACTCTGTATCATAACGATGATTATTGATTGACTTAAGTTGTCACTTCATGCCACTTTTGTATATGCAGTAGTTATTATTAAAGCATTACATATTAATAAATATCGCCAGCCAGAATGTCGACTGTATTACCTTCAATTGAAAAATTGCAAGGACGTGAGAATTTCGATAGTTGGAAATCCGCTGTTAAGACTTATGTGGAACATGAAGAGTTGTGGGGCTGCGTGATAGGAACTGATACAGACGAAAGAAGGATTACAAAAGCTAAGAGTAAGATTATTCTCCTGATAGATCCCATCAATTTTGTACATGTGCAAAATCAGACTACCGCGAAAGGTGTATGGGACGCTTTGAAGAAAGCTTTTGAAGACAGAGGGCTCACGCGAAGAGTAGGGTTACTCAGAACCCTAATAACAACCAGACTGGAAGACAGCAAGTCAGTTGAAGACTATGTCAACAAGATTGTTGGACTCAACGTTAGTGATGAATGGGTTGGTACAATACTTTTAGCTGGATTACCCATTGAATATGAGCCTATGATTATGGGCATAGAGAGCTCTGGAGTACCAGTAACTGGAGACTGCATAAAAACAAAGTTACTGCAGGATGTCAAGTCGAAGTAAGATGAAATTGCTATGTACAGCAACAGATTTCCCGATAGGAATAGAAAGTCAACCAGCATTAGAGTTGGCAATGGTTCAGCAAATAAAACCAGAACAATTCGGTGTTTCCAGTGTAACAGGTATGGACATTTTGCCAAGAACTGTGACAAACCGAAGAAAGACAAGAGCATTGATACAGAAAAGCACACCGTGGCACTATATTCAGCGTTATCAGTTGCACCAAGTGATCACAGCAAAAGTGATTGGTATTTGGACTCGGCTGCTACCATTCATATGACAAATAATTTGGACATACTTGAAAATGTCAAAATTACCACTGAGTGTTCCATCTCCACCGCGAATGATCGAAGAATGTGTGCAAATCAAATAGGTAGCGTTACCCTACCTGTTTCAGACTCTCATAATGCGGAAATTGAAAATATTGTTTATGTGCCAAATTTGAAGGTGAATCTGTTATCAGTTAGCCAGATAGTGAAGAAGAATTGTTCTGTTTTATTTAATGCCACTGGTTGTGAGATTTATGATTCTCAGCAACATGTTATTGCCTCAGGAACACTAGATAAAGACTTATTCAAACTTGACCTGAAAAATAATCATATAGCATGCCATGCATCAGTAAACTCAATGTTATGGCTCCGTAGGCTAGGGCATATAAACTTTGATAGTTTGTATAAACTCAAAAATGGTATGGCATCAGGCCTAGATTTTTCGAATACTGATACGAATTGTAAGTGTGAAATTTGTGTCATGGGTAAATGTCAGAGGTTGCCATTTAAGGACAGTGAAACGCACACAGAAGAAGTTCTCAAGTTGGTGCATTCGGACTTATGTGGACCTATTGAAATGGAAAGTATAGCTGGTTCACGATATATGCTAACTTTCTTAGACGACTATACACACAAGGTATTCGTGTACTTTCTAAAAACGAAAGATGAAGCTTTTGACCATTTCAAGACTTTCAAATGTTTAGTTGAAAATCAGACTGGAAAAACAATAAAAATACTCCGTACCGATAATGGGGGTGAATATCTGAGTACAGCATTTAATAAATATTCGAAAGACTCTGGTATTATACATCAGCTGACCGTGCCAAGAACAGCTGAGCAGAATGGCCAAGCGGAACGTTTGAACCGTACAATTGTCGAAAGAGTGAGATGTATGCTGATCGATTCTAAGTTACCTAACAGTTTTTGGGCAGAGGCAGCTAACACAGCGGTCTACTTACTCAATCGATCTCCTACGAAGTGTCTCAAAGAAAAAACCCCAGAGGAAGCGTGGAATGGAATCAAACCAAAGCTAGATGGGCTACGGATCTTTGGCTGCAAAGTTCATGCACATGTAGCCAAAGAAATACGTAAAAAGTTGGATAGTAAATCTGTAGCTAGTATAATGGTTGGTTATAGTTCTGAAAGCAAGGCCTACAGACTATATAACCTCTCTACAGACAGGGTATTTATAGCTAGAGATGTTGTGTTCTTCGAGAATGAGAAAGGCAATTCACTGATTGAGCAGGCTCGGAAAGAAGAACATAAACATTTTTTTGTATTTCCAGACGAGACTAGTAATAACCTTGCTCAAAATGATGAAAATGAGTCAGTTTCTTCTTCGTTTCAATCTAACAGTGAAGAACAGCATGAAAATGACTCAGAACACTATCAAGAACAATATCTAGACCAGGATCAAGATTTCATCACAGACCAAGTTGTACAGGTTCCAGCTGACGGAGTGAGAAGAAGCCAAAGAGAGAGAAATGTACCAAAACATCTTAATGATTATGTTAGCTATGCAACTATGGTTGATCATTCTGATCCTCAGACAGTTGAAGAAGCTTTGAGTAGACCAGATTGTGACAAATGGCGGGCAGCCATGAAAGAAGAGTATGCAGCCTTGATTGACAACAAAACGTGGGAGTTAGTAGACTACACAGACGACAAGAAACCATTGAAATGCAAATGGGTTTTCAAAACAAAGAAAGATGCCCAAGGTACAGTTGTCAGACATAAAGCAAGGTTGGTGATCAAAGGTTGTAATCGAAGAAAAGGGATTGACTACGAAGGAACCTATTCTCCTGTTGTCCGGTATACATCTATAAGATATCTACTTGCCTTAGCTGCTGAATTCGATTTGGATATCGCTCAGTTAGATGCAGTTACAGCTTTCCTGCAAGGCGATCTTACCGAAGATATATTTATGATACAACCTGAAGGTTTTTCACAGTCAAACAAAATATGCAAATTAAAAAAATCTCTGTATGGTCTCAAACAAGCCAGCAGAGTTTGGAACTTGAAACTTGATCAATGTCTCAAGAAGAATTGTGGTATGACTCAATCGAAAACTGATTCATGTATTTACTTCAAATATACTGAGTCATTAATTATCATTGTAGCGGTCTATGTAGATGATATGATAATTCTGTCCAATGACACAGCAGCTAAAATCAGTTTCAAGAATCAATTAATGTCACAGTTTGAGATGAAAGACATAGGAGAAGCCAGATTTGTACTTGGAATGCAGATCACACGTGATAGAAACCATAGGAAAATATGGTTAGATCAAGAGTTGTATATAGAAAACATGCTCAAGAAGTACAACATGTGGGAGTGCAATCCAATTGATACTCTTGTTGTGCTGGGTGAGAAATTATCCAAGGACATGTCACCAAAGACAGAAGCTGATTATGATAGAATGATGAATATACCCTATCAAGAAACTATAGGAAGTCTTCTATTTGCAGCACAAGTATCACGACCCGACATATCCTACGCAGTAAGTAATGTGAGTAGATTTACTCAAAATCCAGGACTATTACACTGGACTGCAACAAAGCGCATCCTTAGATATCTCAAAGGAACAGTGAAATGCCGGCTGGAATTTGATGGAACAAAGAGAACTGAAATTGTTGGCTATGCAGATGCTGGTTGGGCCAGCAACCCAGATGATCGTAGATCAATTACTGGGTATGTTTTCCTGAAAAATGGCACAGCTATTTCTTGGGCAACTAAGAGGCAAGCCACAGTTGCTCTTTCCACGACTGAGAGTGAATACATGGCTATGAGTATGGCAGCGCAAGAAGCTCTATGGTTCAGAAGGTTGAGTGAGGAATTCGATCAATGTACAGAGGCGACAGTAATACATGTGGATAACCAAGGAGCTCAAAATCTTACGAAAAATGGATCTTACCATGCTAGAACCAAACACATAGATGTGAGGCATCATTTCTTGAAAGAAAAGATTGATGAAAAATTACTGGAGTTGAGGTATATTTCCACGGAGAAGCAAGTAGCAGATTCCATAACGAAGGCAGAGTGGAAAAGAAGAAACATTTGTTTTGTTCCATGAGTCAGGGTTTGACTTATTTTAAATAGAGGGTATGTTGGAATACTATTTAAAACAATATCAAATCCACTGACTATCTTTACCACTCTGTATCATAACGATGATTATTGATTGACTTAAGTTGTCACTTCATGCCACTTTTGTATATGCAGTAGTTATTATTAAAGCATTACATATTTATAAATATTGCCTTCCTGTTCCCCACAAATCGCACTCAGCCAACAGAACAGGTCATCAAACGAATGTCGGGCCGCGCTGCCGCACCCTTTGAACTTCCAAAAGGGACCGACGGCAGAAATAAGTTACCCACAGTGGGTAACTTATCTCTGCCGACGGCTTGCGGTGATGTGTTCTTCCAACTGACTTTGCATTAACTATATATGAGCTTTGTATAGGAGCAGTGACGGCTCATGCCCTCAGAACCTGGTCGGTCAGGGTAGATGTTGCTCTAGCTCTTCAACCTAATTTTTTGATTTTAATGAAATGATAAAAAATGGCTCACCAGATCATACTACCTCACACTCGCCATGACAACTTCTATTTTTTTCTGCTAAATGCTAAACGATCGACACACCAAAAGGGAAAAGCACCACAATGACTAATTACTAATAACAAGCCACCCACTCCTTCCTGGTCGGCCAGCCGTACCTCCGTTGTATCGCCAAGTGTCCTTAAAAGGTTTCCCGTGGTGGAGACATAAGTACAGATTGATTAGCGCTACATGCGTCTTTGAAAATGAATAATATTCTAGAAGTTCTATACAATTTCTTCACCGATGTTATAATACTTTGCTCTTGGACTGCTGAAATTTGTTTCGCCATATATTATTAGTCACATTACATACAATATTCAAGTTATACCTGAATTTTCGCGCTGCTGAATGTGAATCAGTACTGAAGTACCATTTCTCAGTTCTTGCCTTGTTTCACTTTTTGAGTAAACAGAGTCAACTTCTTCAAAATTTCTGTTCAGAGGAATAAGCAGGTTATTGTGAATCACCTCGTTTATTCCAAACTGAGCAACATTCCAATGATGAGTAAGATTAAGAGAGGTGGGTAGGAATTCATTGATATATCACATATTTCGGTAAAAAATTCTATTGGAGCGAAGCTTTTCGTCAAAATATAAATGCACAGTAAGTGTCATCAAGAACTCAAATGATGATGAATGTTAATCTAAATTGTGTACAAGGTTTTTTGAACATATTCCTTACATCTGAGACATTATGCGTCAGTATAATCCAAAGAGTAGCAACAAAGTTGAGTGAACTTGTAGTTAAAATCAACTGGTAATTTTTTACCGTATTTTTGAACTCTCAAAGTTTCATTGTATAAAACTTTCATCAATCTCGGTTCATCACCCTGACCATTCTTTTTCCCCTTTTTTTTGCAACTTCAAGAAAAAATGCTGTCATTCAATCTCGGATACTATACAAGTTGATCAATGTGTTGTGCACGGTCTTCCTGTTAGTGATTCACTCGAGGCCAACGAGACAAGACTTTCATAAAGTCTCGTCTCGTCTCGCCGATGAAATATGAAGTCTTGTCTCGAGTCTCGTCTCGCAGCCTCGAGTCTCGTCTTATCTCGCGTCTCGTACGAGAGTCTCGCAAATGTATCGCAATGTCGTCATGCATAATCTTCTTCCAGTCTAGTACGGGACATTACCTTTACCTACTTTTAGGTATGACTTTAGTTAATGAGTAGGAAGAGAAAATTGCAACAAAAATAACATTATTTATTGAAAAGAAAGTACCTAATAGGTACATACTTACATCATACATCTGAACAAGCAAAAAAACATACCATTTTATATTCGAAAATTATAGAAGTAAAATAAAAAGTAACACGTATATTCTAAACAATTAAACAAAACAAAAACTTTAATCCAATATTATTTTACTTATTTCAGAAATAGGTATCTGAAAAACCTTTATCAGTCAGATCAGCCTTCACGATCGCAAATGTTTTTGTTTTTCACTTAGTCGTTAAAACATAAAGTTATTCTTCATCTTAGACTATTTAGCACGGGATGTCTCTTTTATAGATCTTCAGGTAGTCATTCAATTTGCGTTCTGTTGTTATCGCAGAATTGCCTTTATATTCCGAAGCCGTAAGAGAGAGAATATATAGTCCGTTTTCGTTTCACTCATTTCGTCGTTTTACAGCAATCATGGATTGTGATTTTAGAGTATTTATAAAATGTTTTGTCTATCTGTGCAAAATAGTCTGTATTCTCTCTAAATATGTTGTATTATGAATGAAATTCTCAAGTCAAATCTCGAGACGAGGCCAATGGAAATCTCGTTTTGTCCGAGTCTCGTCTCGAGTCTTGTCTCGAAAACGACACGAGACCATGCGAGACTCTAGAAAACGAGACTCTCGCGGGCACCACTACTTCCTGTAATAATATCTATCAAATATGGTTACCAAACAATCTGTATATAAACAATATAAGATTTCATAAAATGAAGATCACAATAACTCATGCAACAGAAAATCTGTGATGTTTGAGCTACAAATGAGAATACTTCTGGTCAGTAGTACAAATTATCAAATTTTTCGAAAAAAAAAATCTTTTTCTCGAAAATCTGAAAAGATAAGAGAAAAATTGCCATACCATTTCGAGGAATATGCTCGAGAATCATGAGAATATGCTTGAAAAAATCTTGAAAATTCTTCATCAACTTGGGAGTGTGGGGGATTTCTCAATATTTTGCAGAGGTCTGTTTGTCACCCTGTATAGCCAGAGGTTACCATATATTTCCTTCAGCGGTCTATCTGTCATATACCCAATGTGTCAATCTTCAGAATAAAGAAAACCGCATCCGAATAATTTGGAATTCTCGCGAAAATAATCAATGTTGGATTTAGAGCAAAAATGAGCTTGATGCGGCTCGATTGATCGTCAGTTCAGTTGTTTGTTATGTTCGAAATTGTCTAGGAACAGATTTTTGTTGAAATTATCAAACAGAATACATTTTTTTCTACCTTGTCAACATTTCCTTCTCAACTATCTGGGTGAATAAAGGGGAATGTACGTTGATATTCAGGTATTCATAGACCTGGAATGGACATACTGGGGATAAACATCTCAGCACTGCGGGGATGTTGAGATGCGCGGCATCTGGACTTGGTACGTGATTGGTCCCGAATCTGGACGTCCCCAGTACGTACGGAACGTATTAGCCGAACGTTCTCAATAAGTTTCAGGGACGTACTCCTGCTATTTGAGTTAGTCATGGTTATCAATGAGTCCGTCGCTTATCCACAACGCCTTCACGAGACGGATATTCAAATCCATCACTATTCGAGTTCGTCGCCTATTTACAGTACCTAAAGACACGGGCCTTTAAAATCACCGTTATTTGAGTCCGTCGGTAATTAGAGAGTTGAAGTAGTCACTGTACGTAGACCTCCACGTCGACGTTAACGTACGAAAAATAACGTTTACGTATTGTCGTTAAATTGAGTTGAAGTCGCCACTTTGGTCGTCACTGTCATCATAACGTAATAATACATTTTGTTTTCGGTTTGTATTGGTCATTTTTGGTTGGGTGTTTAGATTCGAACATTTATTCCTGTCAAAATTAGAAGACTCCTTGATGCAGAACTCGTTGGTGATCTCGAATTTGATAATTTTGACTCATCGGCATATTTCGAGTATAGTTTGGTTAACGTACGTTGATATTTAAGGTATACGTGAAGGAACGTGAGATAACGTACACCCGTAAGCCCACTAACAACGCAAACGTGAAGAATTGAAAAATGCGCATGCGTAGCTGTCAATTTCTACGTTTACGTTAACGTTCATGACAACACTTCAACTCTCTATTTCCAGTGTGCGCCTTCGCACCACGGACAAAATAGTCCACGGCCATTCGACACCGTCGCTATCAATGTCATGGATCACTCGATAAGGCTATTCATTCATCAACTGAATGATCACCCTTTATCTCTCTTCGCTGATCCACTCGACTCTACTTACGAACATATATGATCGCTACAAACCGATAATAAACCGAAAGCCAATAAGCACTTACTGTTGAAATCTATACCTAGAAGCAGGAAGTGGTACGTTAATTTTAGGTCAGAAATAAAACCATAGTTTCTCGAGCTGCAATCCACCCCATATGGATCGTATTGCAACGAGACCAGAAGTTAATGATCGACCTGGGGAAAATATTCTAATCTGCTCTGACAATGAAACAGAACTTGAAGCGTTCTGTCACCTCAAAACACGCTCATCTCTACCTCGATCTCTACCACTACCACTTACTGCTTGCTACCACTACCACATGATACGACATGAATAACCTTTCGCTGAATTCAACAAGAGTCACTCATTAACGTCACTATTGAAATTGATCTTAGGTACTCGATTCCGGAGTGATGACATCTTTGGACGACTTCACGAGGGTATGTCAGCCAAAACTGGTTGTATTCGACCTCTTCAGTGATCAGATCATCAGAACCGTCTATCTACCGAATGGAGTTCTTAGACCTTCCTCGCTCCTGACGAATCTTGTGGTAGATGAGAGTATCCAAGGGAGATGCGATTCGTCTTTCGTTTACATGAGTGACACTGCAGCACCTGGTAATATGATTTTTTTGATGTATTTCAAATTTCATCATCATATTTCATATCTTATAAAGGCAGACATATCAGAAAGTTGACGAAGTCCAATATTTTTTTCCCAAATATGTCGAATATAACTATCCATATCCTGAGAGACGCAAAGAGTCAAGAAAACCAAAATTAAAACTACGAATGAAGGTATCCTGAGGTATATGTATTGAAACTTTCTTAGAATCATATTGTATCAAGATTGAAAAGAAATTTTATCTCTAATGAAATTCTCCTTTTTTCAATAATTCTTGCGGCTCTCACAAGTTATTTGAATTTTTTCAGAACCTTGCGATATTTTCGTCATTTGGATGAATTTTGAATCTTAAAAAATATCCAAATCACTTTGTTAACTGGCATAAATAGAGCAATTCATGTAATAGTCTTTCAGAGAGATCTGGGAAACGCAATTCAGGGTGTTTTGAATTACGAAAATGTTTCCTTAGGAAGACACAGCATATCGAAGATGAACTACTGAGAATGGTTTCCATTGAATATCTCTGTGACTATCTAGAAATGAAAGCTGGCACCATGGAAATTGTATGTTTGGTAGGATGGTCCATGAATATTCTGGGGAAATCCCCGATAAGTGATTCGAATTAAGAGGAGAAAGAGTGAACATGATTTCATATTTTTTTGTACAATTCTTGACAATATCTGAACATCTATTGAGTATGAAAGTGGCTCCTATAGGCATATGCGAGGAGAATGCAGATGATTTGATATTCTCACCATACTCAATTCTTACGATGCCCACCTTCCTGAGATGCGTATTGCGAAAAGCGTACTCAATTGATCACCAAAACGTAATACGGTGATATGATTATTTCTGTATGGAGAAGGATACTATTAGACCTAACGCCTTGCAGGGTTTGAACCTCATCAGCCGTGCTAGTCAGATACACAGTCCACCGAGCTAACGGGTTACTCGAAAGTTTCCACTATGGAGAAAGAAGGAATAACGTTTGTTCCTTGCCAAAATATGGACGGGTTTATCCGGATTCCATCCACAAATTGCAAATGAACAACGTCTCTGGTACGTCCTGCAGCGATGATCAGCACTGGCGCGGAGACCTATTCCTGACGCTTTCAGAAATACGCTCGTCGGATACCCTCTAAGTCCATTTTCCATGAATCCCCATCATGTATCCCCACTTTTCATAGATTTTCGCCATTCTCAATCTTCATGCACAATTATTCTCACCATGCCCAATTCTTATCATGTCCACCTTCCGCATATCATGATGGTGACCTTGAAAATCTTTTTCTTAGTTGAACCCAGATAGCACGAAGGCGTCCTGTGTATGTCCAGAGGACGTACATCTAGAACATAAAAGACGTCCTGAAGATGTCCAGTGTCGGTCGAGAGACGTTCATAGGACGTACTGGGGACGTCCGATGTTACAAGACGTCCCAGGGACGTCCATATTATGCCCAAGTTTGGTATTTTATTGCCATGAATACCATAATCAACGTATATCCGGCTTTTCTTACTCGAATAGATGAAAAAGTATAGAGAGTAGAGAAAAATCTTATTTTGAATACAAAATAAAAAAACTTCCTACCGAGGATCGATCCCGCGATCTATAGATTACCAGGCAGATGCTATAACCATTATTCCACACAACGCTTGTTGAAATATCAGTCTCACCCCTGAAGTAAGAAGAAAATATAATATATAGGTACATTGATTGCACACTCCACCGAATGAAATTCGCTATAAATCAGAGTGAATGTTCTGATTGGTCAGACATAGGACTGGATGTAGAATGTGCATATAAATTCATCTTTATATCCTTCGAAATCAACATTCTATAAAGATTGTATATCTGGATAATAATATGCCAACATTGCCAGATTCACTTCAATTTCCCCACATTGTTTACAAAGAATCAATTTTGATTCATTGTGACCTATTATCGAATAAATCGACAGATGATCGGCAGCTGACACCAAAGGGGCCTTATTACTACCCTATTTGATCACATTTGGCAATGTTTCATTATCATTGAAAAATATAATGAATATGAAGTGAATAATGAATATAGAAAAATTTGAGACTAAAAATGGACGTCCTGAGAACGTACGCTCTGTACGTCCCGAAGACATACGGGATGGTACGATCTGGGAACGTCCATATTAGGTTCCGGGACGTACGGATTCAAATCGGCCGTAATATGTACGTCCTCGGGACGTCGTGTGCTGTCTGGGAAAGGTAGCTCTATACTGAAAGGTAGTTGCCATGGTTACGCTTGTTTGAGAATCCCAATCGAAAAGCATGACGATCACTGCTTCCTACACATTTTACCTATAGTTCAAATGCAATTCCATCCCCCTCATCGGTTATATAATATCAACAACCATGTAGAGGAATATGATATATCGTAGTCGATGCTAGTTCTTCAAAGTGATTTGTCTCTAGTAGAAGCTCCAGCAAAAGATAACGTGGTGCGCTGTCGGTTCGTTAGAAGTTCCTTTCAAGTTCGTGCATGTGGCGAACATTTCTATAGATCTGTCTGACTTTTACTGATTCAATATACAGTGAAAGCTCTAGTGGTATAATTGATTCAGAGGCTATCAATCAATATTGTGATAGAGTTCTCGTTTACCCATATCGAATTCCTCTTCTAAATGAGGACTAAATATTGTGCCCAAACTCATTTTCTTAAACTGTCAGGATATTTTGTTATTATTCAGTATTTCTAACGGGCGAACGAACTGATTTTTGAAATTTTTGTAGGTTTGGTTGTGTACGACGGCATAAGAGACCAAGCCTGGAGGTTCACGCACCCGACCATGTTTCCAGATCCGAATTTCTCTGATTACGTTATCGATGGGGAATCCTTCACGCTTATGGACGGAGTAGTTGGATTGACTCATTCCCCAAAACTCGGCGTGGTGTATTTCCAGCCACTGGCTACTGACAGGTTGGTAAATAAATAAAAATAGATAAGTTCTACCATCCTCTTCATTCTTGAATCAGGAGGAACATATCTAGGAGATCCAAGATGTATAATATTTCAATGGGGTTCAACATACTCATTACTAGTAAAACTAACGCCAGATATTCATTCCACATTGATCTTTTCAAGTATTACTAGTATCTGATAGGGTTGTTGAAAAATCGGAGATATTACTTTCGACGTATAACTTTTCATTGATGGACCGCTTTGATTGTTTTCGGTCATGCTTGAAAGAGAATTGAACAAGACAAAACTTCAACCCCATATTCATTGAACGTACTCATGAAACAAAATGGCAGACTCTCCAAAACTTTGCCAATCTTGAAAACTTGCTGGAACTTATTTTAGTCACACTGTATATTTTTCATGTAATATTCTGAGAGCGTGAACATTTCTGAACAGAACAAGAGGTCGATTATGCATATTCGTCAAGAAATGACTGACATGTGACTGGATAAAAACAGGTGTGTTTCCACATCTGGATTGCGCTTTGTTGGTTTGCCTGTACTTTTATTTTGAAAATTAAATATAGACAATATCTCCATCATTTCAGATAATCCCAAAATTATGGAAAGAATTATTTGACGCAAGAAAAAGGAGAATGAATATCAACAAAATACAAACGTTTGGGAAGATCAAATATTTGTATATGCTCCCCATGAGCGTCGAATCATCCCACAGAAAATCGAAGGCATTAGCGATATATTTGATATTTGCGATGGAAAATTATACGTCGCCTCCGGTGACGGCAACATTTAAACAATTCTGCATGATGGATGTGACCAACTAGCAAAACACAAAAACAATTGTAAATCACTGGAAACAAAGTAAAAACACCGCTTTTGATAGCTCTAAAACAATACAAATAAAAATGCTATTCCTCCAAGCGGCAGGGATAGTGGCTTTTTCTTGCCGCTTAACAGGCAGAAAAGGTGTACTTTTACTGCCTAGGCAGAAGAATTTTGTTGCTATGCAACGTTCCAAGAAATTCTAATGAAATTAGTAATCAAAATTGACACTGACATTGGATGAACACAGAATGATGGAGTTTTGAATAAAAAAATTACATAAAACTGGTTTTATGTTTCACACGGCAGCAAATGTAGATTGACTTCCTTGGCTGCGCTCGGCTATGAACTATCAGACGCGGCAGTCAATCTACTACTTTTCTGCCTAGTAAAACAAATAACTATTTAATATCGCTTGTCTTCGGTATTATTGACATTTTTCAACAAAATTTTGATTTTGAGAGGATACAGATTGAATTTTCTTTGGGATTATTCGGAGGCCAGGATTCACAGGAATGTAAGAACTTGAGGCTCATGGGAATCATATATATATATATATATATATTCGATCTTTTCAAACGTTTGTATTTTAGTTTTTAAACGTTGAAACAAATACAGTTTTTGTTTCATAATTTTTGAGCAAATCTGGAACGATGGAGATATTGTCGTTGTTTTCATTTTATTTTTCAAACAGAAAATACAGGCACACCAACACAACGCTAGCGAATCGGAATCCAGGGTGGAAACACATACCTGATGTCTTTATCCTGTCATATATCAGTCAGTTTTTTGACGGAGCGACTAAATAAAGTTCCAGCAAGTTTGGCCAAGTTTCAGGGTGTCCGCGCCATTCTGTTTTATAAGAAAATTCAATGAATATGGTGTTGGCGTTCTGTCTTGTTCAATTAGCTTCCAAACATTACCAAAATTGATTGAATCGGTCCGTTAATGAAAAAGTTATTTCTCAAAAACTAAAATCCCGTTTTCTTTTAAAAACCAACCCTATCAATGATTATGTTTAATTTGAAGTCACCAGAAATACTATTTTTCAATGATGAAAGAGCGAACCTCTCAAAAACGCTAGCTTTTGATGACGTTTCACTCTGACAAGCACCGTATATCTTATACAAGGTGATCCGAGAAAAGGTGACTCCGTCGCTATAGAATATAGGTATAGAACTCTGCGAATTTGGTTGGGTTCTTTGACACGAGAGCTCTTGCTTGTCAAAGTTAACGTGACATTTCATTGAGAACGTTGTTGCATGGAGATTAAACGAATAAAATTGACTTTGAAAATATTATTACGTGTCCGTAGGACGAGTTATCTTTCCTACCAGTTCTTTTAGTGAAATTCCTTCAAGGCAACATAACTCGAATTATGAATTAACATCGACCAAAAAGAAACAAAATCTCAAGTATAATTCGGTTAGAAAATTTTATAAATACGTTAATCACAGTATTGTTGATGGTTTTTCCAATCCTCAAAATCACGACATTTCCACAGATTAGATATGCTTTTCTGACAATAATGCACAAAATTGTCAAAAATTGACAAACATGCCATCAAGATCCGTTCACTTTTCTGGTGGTTCCGAATGTTAGGTTCCGTTTTGTGGCTGGAAAACTTAGGGCAAAGTTTGTTCGCTGCTCTGATGACAAAATCATAGCGACCTATGGAATTTTATACAAGAATTGAAATGTAATTCATACCGGTATGTGTATCCAAGATTCACTCTCTATCTAGTGGCCAATCTCGTTTTGACCTGTTTTGGAAGTTGAACCGAAGCAAAATAGGAAGAAATACAGGGTGGTTCAAAATTCAGAATTCTGATCCGCCTGTATCTGTCAGTAGGTAGACAGTAAATCGAAAGTGAGGATAGGAACACGAAAGCCGTTTTTACAGGGGACATGAGAGCACTCTTGACAGGTTATGATTAGTTTTGGCAGATCAAAATCTGAAAGTTGAGAAATCTCGATTTTGAACACGCTTTGATACTCAAATCATTCTTGCTAGACCCCAAGTTTGTGTTGCATTGATGAAACCTGCTCTTCAGAGAGAATATGAAAATGCAATAAATACAGGGTATTTTATTTAAAATAACAAAATTGTTGCTACTTTTCGATAAAAGCGGCAACACTGCATTGCTGAAAATATTTCAAATGAAGAGAGCGTATTCTAAAATATATGCATGCATATTTTCATGGATTTCTCATGACTGGTTCTCAATATAGAGATAGTGTAAGTTCGTTGTGACATACCCTATATACTGATTTGAGCGATACCTACACCCTATTTGGTAATTGGAAAATATCAAAGGCGTACTACGAAAAATGTTGGGGGAGATAAAGAAGCCTATACCTCCAAATATCACCCTGTAGATTCAAAAAATCTTGAAATTGCTCAAAATAGAGAATTTATAAAAAGTATTAACCACATCAAATTTCAAATTGATATCTTCAAAAGTGAGCGAGATATTTCAATTAATAGAAAAAAAAAATAATTTAATTTGTAGATCCGCTACTGATCGAGATCGGACTCTGGCTAATACTAACTTTTAATTGGTATGATGATGAGATCTATCACCCATTTCAGTTTGTAATTCAAAACCTTACAACCTTGTAGATATATATCCCTAATACACATTCCCTATGAGTAGAACTAGTTCAACTAGTACCGACATTTAAATATATCACTGTATGGATTTCAGGATCTTCAGCATATCGACCACAACTTTGACGAAAGGACCTCCAGGAGAGTTTGAAAAGCTGCCCATCAATTTAGTGGGCAAGAAATCATCCCAAGGGTTAGGACTAACATTGAATCTTCTGGATGAAACCGTATATTTCAGTCCTCTTGCCGAGACTTCTGTCGCATCTTGGAACCCATTGACAAATAAGCAAAAGTAAGAACAATATCATATCACACAGTAGCTAGCATATACACTGAGAAAAACTGGTTAATTAAAACGTCTAGTTGGTATTTTTTTAGTACCGATAATTAAAAGTATTTGGAATTTTATTAACAATGACAACGTATACCTATTTCCTACAAATGACTTTTCTATTTTTCGCCAATTATTTGTCATCAATAAAAATACTATTTGTGACAGAGTTATCACAGTGTTGTCTATTCAGTCAATTAAAATTTCATATTGGGGTTAAAAAACCTCATTCTGGGGTTACTAGCAACAGCTGACTATTTGCCACAACTGATGACACATTAATCGTAAAAGGTTAATTATTATTCATAGCAGAAATTGTTTAGCCATAGCTAATAATTTTAGTTGTACTGCGTCGTTCGGGACCGCCTCGCGTCTCTTCGTGGCCCACCGGCAAAAATTGCATCATGCATCTGTTTGTCTTTCTGTTTCATCATTTGAACTCGGTCGTCGAGCTTAGACAAAATAAATAAAATAATTGTCTAGTGTAGCCGGGGCGTCGTGTTCTTGCTGGTTCACTGCTCCGTGTGTTTTCAAATCACTGTTTTGTGTTTTTTTGCACTTCGCGCTGGGCCATTTGGCATTTGGTTGGCAAAATAATAATTCGCAGTTTACCATCGTTATCTGTTCGTCACTAGTTATCAGGTTTAGGTACCTATTCACAATTCAGTTCAGTTTACGACGGGCGACGGTGAGAAACGTCCAACCGACGTCACTATTTATAATTCCCTCTCTTTTTTGCTCAGCTGTGGCCTATGGCACTTACGGTGTGTGGTGTATTCCTGTTCACGATTCCATTGGAAATTGGAAGGAAAATGGCATACAAACTGTTATTATTGGAATGGGGAATGAAACTATTAAGTTGCCAGAATAACTAAATTATATTTCAAACGTTACTAAATCACTTTTGATAGTTATTAGATTCCATTTCAGTCACAATTAAATATTTAATTTGCAACAACACACTCACTATTAACGTCAGAAGAAATGAGTAATTGCCCCAACTGGGATAATTTGTTGTGATAACAAACATATATTGAAACAGTACTAACAATCTAAATGTCATAACTATGTATCTTGATTGTGGCAAATAAAACTTGGCATTATTCCTTAAAAAGGCTTATTAGTTACCACAACAACGTCGTAGATGACTCAACTAAACTTTTCATTTGAGGCAAATAGGCGTTTTCAGAAAAACAGAATTAGTTATGGCAACAACTAACCCAGTAAACATGAGACATTCATGAAATATTTCAAGATTACCAAAAATGTTAATGATTGAAACATTTTTCAGGAACATTCCCGAGATATTGCAAAATCACTGTAACATTCCTGAAATATTTCAAAACAACTATAATTGATATATTCCGAAACATTCCAAAATTACTTGTGAAGTGATGAATGAAACATTCCAAGATAACTCTGATTGTGAATAATTGAAACATATATCATTTACTACCTATTCAGGAATGTTTCAATGCGTTCGAAATATGTTTGAAACGTTATAAGGTACCTCAAACTATTGATATTTTGAAACATTTCAAATATACTCTCATTGCGAATTACTTCAATGTTTCAAGACACCTTGAATGGCTTGATTGAGGAATATTTCAAAATCACCCGAATTTTAAATGATTGGAACATTTCAATATGTCTCTCATTCTGAATGATGGACACATTTTTCAGGAACATTCCAGGGATATTGCAGAATCACTGTAATATTCCTGAAATATTTCAAAACAACTGTAATTGATATATTCCAAAATATTTCGAAATTACTTGAGAAGTGAATGAATGAAACATTTCAAAATAACTTTGATAGTGAATAATTGAAACATATCATTTACTACTTATTCAGGAATGTTTCAATGCGTTCGAAATATGTATGAAACGTTTCAAGGTACCTCAAACTATTGAGATTTTGAAACATTTCAAATATACTCTCATTGCGAATTACTTCAATGTTACAAGACAACTTGAATTGCTTGATTGAGGAACATTTCAAAATCACCTGGATTTTAAATGATTGGAACATTTCGATATGACTCTCATTCTGAATGATGGAAACATTTTTCAGGAACATTCCAGGAATATTTCAAAATCTTCGTACCATTTCTGAAACATTTCAAGACAACTTCAACTGATATATTCCGAAACATTTCAAAATTTCTTGGATAATAAATAAATGAAACGTTTCAAAATTTCTTCAATTGTGAATAATTGAAACATATCATTTTCTTCTTATTCAGGAATGTTCCAATGCGTTCGGAATATGTTTGGAACATTTCGAGGTTCATCAAACTATAGAAATTTTGAAACATTCCAAATATACTCTTATTGCGAATTACTGCAATATCAAAAGACAACTGAAATTGGTTGATTAAGGAACATATCAAAATCACCTGAATTTCAAATGATTGAAACATTTCGATATTACTATCATTCTGAATAATGGAAACATTCATTAGGAACATTCCAGGGATATTTCAATATCATTGCAACATTTCTGAAACATTTCAAGACAACTTTAATTGATATATTCCGAAACATTCCAAAATTACTTACCTACTACAATATTCCAAGACATGCAACTTGAATTGGTTAATTTTAGAATATTTCAAAATAACCCGAATTTTAATAAATTAATTAGATTATTTCACAACTATTACATGGTTTATTTTGACCAAGCATTTTATCATAGTATGATGCAATTCAGCATTTCCCCTCTACAGCCGCCGCTTTCGTGGCTTCGGTAATCGATCGCGGGTTCCCGTCTTCGGCTCGCGTTCGCGCACGCGCATTCAGTTTCCTTCTCCTTGGTGAAAGACTTCGCAGTTTTCGCTTTCCGACTGTTGTCTCAAGCCAAGCAAAGCAAAAGACATCTAATATCTTATAATAGTGATAAAATATAATTATTTCACTCAAGTCGAACACATTTTCGAGTGTTTACTATTTAATCGTACCGGTAGACCTCTTAGGTGATTTAGGCCATGTGAAGTAACATCAAAACTTGCAACCAAACAAACAACACAAACGACTTCATTTTTTTTATTATCTCCTGGTGTGGCTGGCCAGACTTTGAAATCGGCTTCATGGACAAGGCCGAGGTACGTATAAATATAGAAAAACCATAATTTCAGATGAAATATCAAATATTATTAGATATCATGATGGGTATATTCATAATGATACTTTTTGTTCTAGGATGGAGTGTGGAAATTTCATCATGACTTAGAAGCTGCACAAGAATAGTGCTTTCAATTGCGATGTAACCGAAGAAAAATATTGAAGCACTCAACATGTGAATAACGATGTTAAATTACTTGATATGTATGTACATACCTAATACGTCGTGATTATGTGAAATATCTGATGATACTTTTTTAACTGTTTTTTTCATACCTATATCATTATGTGAGCAATATAATCCATTTTTTTATGTCTATTATCTTTCATTTCACCAGCAATATGAATATATTCCAGCGATATTGGTAGGTATTTTTCATTCTGAAACATTCAATGGGAATGTTTCATAAACAGTAATATTGTTGAATGAAAAACCTCCATGGAATGTTTCATGAAACATTCCCGAAAGTTCTACAATGAATGTTCCCAGGATGTTTCTATATATATGTATTTGAAACATTATTTATGAAACATCTCTGGTGGCGAAAATTCATCGTTTCCTAAAGATCTAATCATATTGGGAATGTTTCCAGAATGTTTCAAGCATTTGTATTCGAAACATCATTCATGAAACAGTTTTGAGGGCAAATATCTTTGGTTTCACGAATATTTCTGAAACATTTCACGTAATATAACGGGAGAAATATTCATGAGATATTGCATGGAACATTCCTACAGGATATGATCATGGTAGAAATGTTTCCAAAATGTTTCAATTTGCGTATTCGACACATTATTTAGGAACATTACCATGAAACATTCCTGAGGGCGGACATCTCTAGTTTCTGGAATGTTTCTGGAACATGTAGGCAACTTTGAATGCAATGTTTCATGCATCAATACTACGTTTCTGAAACATTTCAGAAACAAAAAAATGTTTACTGGGAAAATGTTTGCTGTCCCCTATCGTACTAAAATTTTTTTCTGTAGTTACTAATTTTTTAGTAACGGCAACAAATTTTTTCCCTCAGTGTACTTATTAGCCTACATTTCATACTTGAATGTACACGAGAAGGCCCACCCCTTTTCATCGAAAAACATAGAAAAAACAATATGCGGAAGTTGAATGCCGCAATGAGGCCTGAATTACCAATCAGCAAAAATTCTAGCCACAGATAGTATTTATTCAAAAAGGAATTTTCTAGAGATGTCCTTCACTTTTCAAGATTTGAACTGCATTAATAAAAAAACAGACATTAAATATCTGAGTGAAATACAGGGTGTTTCAATGGGAAAAGTAAATGATTCAACTGTGGAAAGCGGTCACTGGGGTGATTTCAAAAAACCCATGGTTGATGGGTCTTCGACTTCTTATAACCGAGATACAGGATGTTTCATCAATTTTGTCCATATCTTCATTGTCTCATAACTTTCCAACCAACCTGTATATATTTTTTAAAATTGGTACACTTGCTTAATCTATCCTGTGAAAATGAGGCAACAACAAAAAATGAAATCCAGGTCCGGCTTCACTTGAAATTCACAAATTCTTTCCGCCAGAAAACAACACCCTATACATTCGAATTTCTCATTTCTTTGCCATATCTGAAAAGAACATCAAAATTTCTATTCAACGATGTGCTTTTTATTCGTGCACAGACGATTTAAACTATTCATATTATGTGCTCGAAATATTATTTTGGCTCATTTTGGGGTACAAAATTGGAATCAGGCGAGATTCATTAATTTTATTACTTCCTATTCAGTATACGTGAGTATTACATTAAGAAGGAGTATTTCATATCGTTGTTTGTTCCAGACTTAGTTGCAGGTCCGTCATCAAAACTATACAGGGCTTTTCACGATAAGCGTTAAATTGATGTTTCTGGCAAACCACATCCTGTATCTCGGTTATAAGAAGTCGAAGACCCATCAACCATGGGTTTTTTGAAATCACCCCAGTGACCCCTATCCACAGTTGAATTATTTACCTTTCCCAATGAAACACCCTGTATACTCCCAACTTCTAGCACTGGATATAGACAACCACACATACCTTTGTACAACACCCTGTCTTTTTTATTCTGAACCAACCGCCCACATACCATAGAGAACTTGTAGAGATACAATTTTCAACATCCAATTACTCTGTGGTTTTTTCCAATTTTCTCCCATTTTTTTGTTTTTGGTTTTTTCTTTCCCCTATTCGCAGAGTTAAGTACCAACCAAGTTTGTCAATCTTTTCCTGGATTTCATTTCATGACATGAATCTCTGCTTCCTTCCCATTTTTGCTTGAAAAGTTTTATGGTTAGAGTTGTAAAAGCTTAGTTACGCGAGACACTGCATCCATAGTACTATCAACCGATAATTCATCTTTAGGCAGACGTGAAGAAGAAGTAGTACACCTTGAAGTTATGTTATATCCATCTTTTAAAAGAGAAGAATTTGAATGTTTCGTGACACTGTCCTGGCAAAAAAATATCCCATCGACTTTTAAAACATTCGAAACACCATTGTAATCATTCTCAAATAGTGTAAGTACCATTATTTGATCAATCCTCAATATCATTGTCAATTTACACATTCATTCATTTCTATTGTAGCCTCCCTGATGATGGATATATAAATTTCCGAAAGCGCGGACAAACTGAAATGACTTCACCTTTACTTTGCTGCAATCCCCACTAGCAAGCTAGTTTTGAATATATAAATATATACATATAAAACTAGCGAGGTTTCAATGAAAATACTAATCAAAGCTGGTTCAATAACATTTCGAGAAGAAATTATATGTTTCACACGGCAGCAAATATAGATTGACTGCTTTGGCCAAAGTCCTAGTTCTAGGTACTTCGCTGCCTAGTAGAACAAATAACAATTAAAGTATAAAAAGAAATATCGATATCATTGCTGAAACAGTGGAATATATGTTCTCTCCGAATGGCATAAAAAAAGGCACTTAACAGGCAGAAAAGGTGTGCTATGCAACGTTCCAAGTAATTTGAATTCATTTGACATTGAGTGAACACAAAATAATGGTGGTTTCAATGAAAAAATCACACAAAATTGGTTTTATATAAAACAGTCGGAAAAGAGTTTGTATGTTTCAAATGGCAGCAAAGTAGTAGATTGGCTGCCGCAGCTGATACTTCAGCCAAGCCACTCTCTATGCCGTTTGGAATAAAATAACTATAGATATATTAGATCATTCATATCCACAATTGGCGAGACAACCCTGACAGCTAGAGCAGATAGGGGATGCCCACAGGGAGGGGTAATATCGCCCCTACTATGGGCCATTCTAATGGATGAACTGATCAAAAGGCTAACATCCAAAGGGTATTGACAATTAGTGTAAAGAGGAGGAACTCACCGTGAACCCTCATGAAACCACTATAGTGAATTTCACGAAAAAGACAGTACTGGAAGGATTAAGTCACCAGTACTCAACGGGGTAGAAATTCCGTTCGCCCTAGAGGCAAAATACTTAGGAGTCATATTTGACCATAAGTTAACATGAAATCAACACCTACAAAAATTTGTTCAAAAAGAACAGTAGCCTTCAATCTGTGCAGACGAATGTGCGGAAAAAATTGGGGACTGCAACCAAAAATGACCACATGGCTCTATGCCAGCGTCATCAGGCCTATGATGGCATATGGGTTGGTAGTTTGGGTGCCAAAGACACAACAGGCTGTAGTGATTTGAAGGCTCAGTGCTATTCACAGGCGAGCGTGCCTGAGTGCCACTGGTGCAATGAAAACCACACCAACAGCCGCTTTAGAGGTCCTCTAGAACCTACCACCACTACAAATATATATTCGAGGCGAAGCCAGAGCACTCGTGAGTAGATTGTCAAGGAGTCAAGCACCCATAAGCCACGCGCACGGTAGAGACTTTAGGAAGCTATATGAAGAGTTGGAAAGCGACCCCATCATGGGGATGCCAACGGATGGCATAATTCCAAAATATAGCTTTGAAAAAACTTTCAAAATAAGTATAACGGGCAGAGAGGCATGGAAGGAAGGACCTCCTATCAATGCAGACATTGCTGTCTATACGGACGGCTCCAAAACTGAGGAAGGATCAGGAGCTGGTATTTATGGGACCAAGCCAAAGACAAGAATCTCACTGAGCTTAGGCAAATACGCGAAGGTGTTTCAGGCAGAAATTATTGCAGTACATCATTGCGTGAAAGAATTGATAAGGCAAGAGTTTGAAGGCAAAACCATTGCGATCTATTCAGATAGCCAGGCGGCAATCAAAGCAGTCAACTCTATGCAAGTTGAGTCAAAACTAGTATGGGACTGTTTAGAAACCCTAAATGCACTGGGCAGTCAGAACAGATTGACTCTAGCATGGGTACCAGCACATACAGGGTTACGAGGGCAATGAAGAGGCAGACTCACTTGCCCGAGCAGGAGCAAACAAAGCTCTCAATGGCCCAGAACCCTTCTGTATTATTGCGAAAGCTATACAGAAGACTAGTATCAAATCATAAATGCAAACCAAATCTCATGAATGGTGGAACAACTCGCCAGGAATGAGACAGGCGAAAGAGTTCATTAAAAAACCATCGCCAACATTCACAGAATATCTACTGAGCCAGAAACGAAGTTCAACTAGAATACTAGTGGGACTTCTCACAGGGCATTGTAGGCTCAACAAACACATGTGTACGATAGGTCTGACTGAAGAGCCTATGGAGTCTCATTGAGAAGGCGGGGCTAGCCGAAGAACTCTAATCGATTTTGAGGGCAGACACAATAGATCTGAAAAGTTCGCAGTGTGGAGGCAGATAGCCCGAAGGCCCCATTCCAATTCTAATCTAATCTAGATCATTCAAAAGTGTCCTTAGAAGAGGGATAGGATAAAACCGGTTTCTGGGGTTATTATATAAGATGAACTAGATTATGTTTGAGCAATTTTAGTAGATGTTCATTTTAAAAGTTGTGGAGATGATTTCGAGTTTGTTTCATATTAAAATTCTACTCCCTTTGAGCTGTGGACAGCAGATTATTCAAAAAAATGATGATGATATATTCTCTTTCAGGCTTCTTGCTTATGACCCAGAAAGGCTACAGTTTCCCGCTGAACTGCGATGGAGAAGTGATGGTGCGCTATGGTTATTGAGCACAAGATTCCAGAAATTCTTTCTTAGGACCGTCTCCCCGAATGAGGTCAACCTTCGAGTGATAAGAATATTTCCGTCTCGACATGCTGTGTCTAATGGACTTAGCAATAACCTCTACATATAAATTTTAGTTTCTAAGAGCAGATTCCATATTGCCAAATTTAGAATGTGTCCCAGTGATTTTCATTCAAATGTTATGTGTGTGTGTAAAAGTTGATAACAAATGGAAAATCTCATAAAACCCCATTCCTCATGAAGTTCTGGAAGGGCTGAAAACTGAAAATGATAATGTCAAATAAATTTTTTGTTCATCCTCATTCGAGGTATGCCGAAATCATAAATTCTGCTCAGTATTGAAAAATCCTTATTTTCGACAATATTATGGTTTTTATGGTGAATAGTCGACTAGAATCGAAAACTATACGTTCAAATAATTAATCACATCTATCTACGATGAAAATGAAGTTTTGTTATTTTGATAAATTCATATGGTGAACTTTTTTGATTATTATTACTATTAAAAAAAATAGTGATTCCTCATAAAGAGTTCTGCAAGGCAACACAAAACCAAGAATGTGAAAATAAGATATTGAACTTTTTAGTCGTATACGAGGTTATAGAATAATATGAATTATATCCACGATCGAGTTCATAATAGAACCTGATTTTCATCATGGATAGATGTAGTTAGTTTTGAATTCTGGTTGCTATAGTTTTCGATAATAATTTTCGATATTGTCAGAAATGGTCGTATCTTACACCTGAGCAACATCATCAATATATTTTGACATACCTGATGTCAGAATTTTCGGTTTTAGGCCTTGCATTTCCTGAAATTGATCTTCAAAAATGTTTCCATTTGTTCCCAACTTCTTCAGACAAATGTGTAGGTAGATACTATTGGTGATTTGATGGTCTATAATATTATCTACAAATGAAACATACAGCGAGTGGTCCATCGAGAACAAACCAGACTGAATAATCCCCAGAAGTAGGTAAGTATTATTGTTGCAAGAACGTCGGTACTGAATTCATGAAAGACACATCTTCATTCAATCCTGAGAATTCAAATAAGTAGCTATCATATTTCCCTGCCCTTTACTTCGTGAACCAAATGGAGTTTGAGGAGGAAATTCAATGTCTAGCTTATAATCGGAAAGGTTATATTCGATGAATATGTAAGTTTCAATTTTGGAGCTCAGCACTATTCTCCATTGATCCAGGTCCATTTTTGACATTGTGATGTTGTCATTCAGTATCTGAATAACTGATCAAATAATTCTTCAGAGTTTTTGTCAAACATTGACTGCTTGACAATCATTCTTCGCATAATGAAACGCTCAAATTGTGATGAATCTACAATACAAGATAATTCATGTTGGAATTCGATGAATCTTATACTGTGCCCGTCTAAAGTGTTCTCCCCCCCCCCACCTATTTTTGAACCATCTGGTATATCGCTACGAAATTTGGGGGGCTGAAATAGGAAATGAGAACATTGAGAACCTACTTTTTATAAACACCATCTTGAATTTGTAAATGAAATTTCATTATATGAAACTGTTTCATATATTCATCGGAATATTCTCATGAATTCTCAACAGTTCGAATAATTTCATTGCTAAATTCAATAGTTTTTAAAATATCAACGTCTGAAGAGTAACATCTTAGCCATTTCAAAACCAAAATAAAACTCGAATATGTCGCTTTCAATCAAGTTTACTTTGAAAAGATAAATCAAAATGTTATTGCTGCCACGATTTTCTTTGAAGCTTACTCGATTGAAATCAACATTCAAGTTATTGGTAGCGTTCGAAAATGTCACTTTTCAAACGTTAATATTTCAAAAACTTTTGGATTTAGGAGGCAATAAGATCATTTAACCTATATCGAACTGATGTTGAAAATTATGAGAAAATTTCGAAAATGGAATAATCGATTATAATATATTATATTCTCTCTGAATAAATAATACATAATGACTTTCAGCCTCCATTTTGGAAATTCATGTAGTAATTTCCCCATAATTAGGTCGGTTTTTATCTCCTATCTCACCCCTTCATTTTCTTTGCGATATATCGGTTGGTACAAATATCAGTAGGGGGAAAAAGGCAGGGGAGGACGGACTATAGACGGGTACTTTATAATGGGCTGTCTTTAGCAGATGAGGTTCATACTGAAATCTTCAAAAAAAAAAAAATTCAATAGCAATTTGCTGCATATTTTATGATGTCAACCTGCACCATCAACCATCAACCATCACCTACATCATTCCATTTCCTCCTCATATAATCATCATCACACTTTTAGAACTGAGGACAATTGCATTAGTGGAATTAGAGTACTTATGTGAAAACTTCACAAACGATAACATTTTCACAAAATTCTCAAACACACGACATGTTTCGCTAACACAGTAGCTTCGTCAGGTGATATACTGGTACAATGAACTAAACTAACGTTGGCTTGCTTAACTTTTATATATCCTACTTCCCCAACCTGAAGGATTAGTTACCTGTGGACGGGTACAATGAACCTCCATTTTCGGAAATTAGATACACTATCTACATTTTGAAATATGGTGTACCGGATTAACTTGAAAGAGTCGATAGCAAATACATATTATTACTTACTGAGGAAACAAATTCAACAGTGATGAATTATTGAGGTCTAATTGATCGTTGAATAAAATGTCAGAATTTTTGAGTTTGCTGAGAACCATAATGATTCAAAATGATTGAATTTCATTCCTCTATTTTCCACGTGTAGAATTTCGAAACTATCATCAAAACTATGGTTTACTTCTGTCACATGGTTGGCGTATGTTGAATTTGTTTTCTTTTTCATGAAATTCATCTTATGTTCATGAATGCGCTGATTAAACGTACGACCTGTCTGACCGATATATACCTTAGGACAAGATCCACAGTTGAGTTTGTATACTCCTGATTTTTCAAATTTGGAAGTTTTGTCCTTATTATTCATGATAAACCGTCCCAACGTGTTATTTGTTCTATACGCTACTCTTAAGTTCTGTTTATGTAGAAATGAAGCTAATTTTCCAGTTGATGATCCGAAATGGGTTGAAGTTCTATAATTTTGATTATCATTCTCGGTGGTAGAATGAACTTCTTGAATAGCTCCATTATGAAGTTTTTTAGAAAGAATACTGTCAATCAATCAATCAAATTAACGTTGTATCCGTTGTTGACTGCAATATATTTTATGATATTGAGTTCTTTATTGAAATTTACTTCCGAAAGAGGGACATTCACTAGCCTAGGACAAATATTCATCCAAACATAAAATTCACAATAGAAATAGGGACAGAAAATTCCATCAATTTCTTAGATTTGACCATAAGTAAAATTAACGATGAACATGATTTTTCAATTTTCCATAAACCTTCCCACACTGATATCACTATTCATAATAATTCAACACACCCTTATCAACATGAAATTGCAGCATATAATAGTATGATACACAGGCTAGTGAATGTTCCTCTTTCGGAAATAAATTTCAATAAAGTCATCAACAACGGATACAGCGTTAATTTGATAGACAGTATCCTTTCTAAAAAACTTCATGAAAATGGTATTCAAGAAGTTTATTCGACCATTAAGAGTAAGAATCAAAATTATAGAACTTCAACCTATTTTGGATCATCAACTGAAAAATTAGCTTCATATCTACATAAACAGAACTTGAAAGTGGCATATAGAACACATAACACGTCGGGACGGTTTATCAAGAATAATGAAGACAGAACTTCTGAATTCGAAAAATCAGGGGTATACAAACCGAACTGTGGATCTTGTCCTAAAGTATATATTGGTCAGACAGGTCGTACGTTTAATCAGCGCATTCATGAGCATGAGATGAATTTTATAGTTTTGATGATAATTTCGAAAGTCTACACGTAGAAAATAACTATTATATAAAGCTCAAACATTCTGAATCATTATAGATATTAACAAACTAAAAAATTCTGACATTTTACTTAACGGTCAATTAGACTCCAATAGTTCACCACTGCAGAATTTGTTTTCTTAGTAAGTAATAATATGTACTTGCTATCAACTCTCTCAAGATAATCCGGTACACCGTATTTTAATGTATAGATATTGTGCCTAATTTCCGAAAATGGAGGTTTATCGTACCTGTCCCCAGGTAACTAATCTTTCAGGTTGGGAAAGTAGGATATATGAAAGTTGAGCAAGCCAACGTTAGTTTCGTTCATTGTACCAGTATATCACCTGACGAAGCTTCTGTGTTAGCGAAACATGTCGTGTGTTTTAGAATTTTGTGGAAATCTTATCGTTTGTGAAGTTTATACATTTGCCATTGATTTCCATCAAGTAACGGTCGAGTCAATTCAAAATTAGAGTACTTATATCATGTGTTTTGGTCAATATTTCAATATTGTCTACCGTCAGACTCGATGAACACAGCAAACTATAATACATGGGCGATCACATTTTCAAGCAAAACAACTTTCTGCTTGTTAACTTCACTCTCACAAGACGAATGGCAGAACTATAAAAAACACATCACTCGGCCATAGTCAAAAAAATATTTCTATGAAATGCATCCGATAGGTCGATGTTTCCTTGTGATTTTATTGATATGTCTTCATGACATTGGAAAATATATGTATATCGTTGTATATCATCGTTCATTCAGAACTGTTTTATAATAGTTATCTTTGATTCCCCAATGCCGTGTAAGTAATATAATCTTGTTTCACATAAATTACTACAAAATAATTTGAGGTTTCACCAGCATGTAAATAGGAAAGTTTTCGCATAATTTTCAATTCTTGGTTACTTTCGGTTTCACTGAAAATTGTTACATTTTTGAATTCTTCAGACAGTTCTGGATCAGAATATGACATAAGTGCAGCTAGGTGGCCATGATCAGACTTCAACTTATCTAAAGACTTCAGGTGATGTCAAAAAATTATAATCGCGAAGTTAGTGACTATTATGATAGAAAGGAAGAAGTCGAGTTGGCAAAACTATATTTCTGTTGGTAACTATTAATTTCCAAATAGTCACTATTTTTCGACATGTAATGGTAAAAAAAATACGAAAGCTCAAAGTCACGTCTATGAAACACGCC